GGGGGGAAGAGGTTTTAGAAGTTGTCATTTGTACAGGTTGTTTTGGACTGATAGTCCATTTATACATTTTCATAGTCCCAGGAGACTGCAAATTCACATTTTTTGTGCCTTTGGTCAACGTTTTTCAGTAAAATTAACTTGGGAATGTTTTTAAATGGTCATAAAAGGTGTTGAGCTCAGAACAAAAATTCAATAAAAATTGTGTAATGGGTGGAAAAATGTCAGTTTCTTCAATTTCACTATTTCGACGAATGCTAGATTTCACCACAATGCTACATATTTAAGTGGACTGCTCATCATTACGAACTTGATGGAATCGTCACGATGTTTGTTCAATTTTACAAAAATAAGACCGCCCTGATATAAGCATTAGACACCATAACTGGCCAGAAGGCAAGGGCATTTCAGTGACCCTAAGCAAGTGTTGTGTTTCTGCGTGCTGTCGGCATCGCTGACCGCTTATGACGCCACAGCACCAGAAGAAAGAGAGAGATGGCAAAGGCATTTAGTTTATCTCATGCCTAAGGGCTGTAAGGGTTGAGGGTGAAACCCCAGACGCTCTCTGGCAAGCCAGCCTCAACCAAGTCAACTCCCCGTCCTTGTCGAGCGACCTGGGGACCCCTGCTCTGTGCATAGGAGCAGGAGTTGCAGACGGAGCTCTGGCTAGGAGGTACCATAGCCCTGTGAGGTGCGAAGTGAGCAACGACCCTACGGCTCCTAGAAGGGTCCGTACACATCCACCATTATGGTAGGTCTGGCGTCACAGCAGGCCAACCTGTTCATTCAGGAACTCTCTGTCAACATCTTCTTCCCTCCCTCTCGTGGGAGCTCTACAGACGGGGCATGGTACCCGCAGACTGCCAGATGACTCATCGTGAGATGTCTCCGTGGACCCAGAAGGCCTTGTAGCTGTAAGGAATAGGCTGCCTGGAAACAGATGACGTTCCTACAGATATCCTGGCAAATGCTCGCTGATCCATGACGTGACGATCCTCTGTCTGAGTAGATTTGGCCACCCCTCTAATTATTCTGCCCCATGAACGGAAATGTTAATAGCAGATAGCCGGGAGACAGCAGGTGGCGAGGATTGGGCAAACGTAAGCTACGCTTGGTGATGTTGACGACTCACTGTGGAAGGAACGCATTACCCCTTACTCAATGGGACCCCTTACCTGACTGCTCAGACGATCACTGGTCGTTGGTTGCCCTTTGTGGCTCCCATCTCTCAGAACGAAAGTGTGCCTTCGCCCCCTATAATTGTGAGGCAGCATGGTGAAATCAGGCTCTCATCAAAATAATCAAAGTGAAGAAACTTGCATTTTTTCGCAGTTTGTAAATTTTTATCAAATTTTTGTTTTTTGGCTCAACTCTTTTCATGCCCATTAAAGAACTCATTTCTGAGTGGATTTTTCTGAAAAACGTTGATTAAAGGCACAACAATGTAAATTTCCAGTTACCATGGACTCTGAAGCTAAGGAAATAACTAATCTTTGACGGCCATTTTCTCATTGATTTTACTTCTGAAAACAGGTGACCCCCACCTCCTTCTTTCGCAAATATCTCGACTTGTATTCAAGATAAATGGATATTTTTTTCATCTAAATAAAGACAAGTGAACAAGCTTTAAGATGATACCAATAACTCTACGTGCCCAAAAACTGACGAGAGCCTGATCCCACCACGCTGCCTCACATTTTTTTTTTTTTTTAAATTTTTGTTGCCAGATTGTTTTTTAAAAATTTTTTAAAAATTAATTGAAATAATTGCTAGAAAATTGTTAGAGGTATTTTTTGGTCCAAATTGTTCTGATTAGATTTTTTTTTTTTTTTATTTATATTTGGCTAGATATAAATTATTTTATATTTTTCTTTCATCAGTGGCAGGGGAAGAGCAGACAGACCTGGATGGAGACCCGCATGACGCGACGTCCACGTCTCAAAGCTCGCCGCCCAACACAGACACCAAACAGATAATCCTTGACCTTATCAACAGCTCATGACATGGAAGGGTCTAATGTACAGAGATCTTTGTGTTCATAATTGAATTATGTTTTTATATATATATATATATATATATATATATATATAGTCAAACCTCATTATACAGCCACCCTTGGGTAGAGCGTTAAGTTGACGAAACAGCGGGGCTGGTGGTTTAATGGAATTTTCTGTTGTATAGTCTCGACTGTCGAATATCAAGGAACAGGATTCAGCTGTGCGATCTGTGTTTGGTTTGAAAAGTGTCTTTTTTTTTTCTTTTTCTTTTTTTGTGATATATACGTGTACATGCGCATGTATTCAGAGGTGAGAGTCTTCGCTCTCTCTATCTTTATGTCTTTCTCATGGCAGAAAGATTATCATGTTGCCAGCCAGTGGGTGTTGTAATGTGCGCTGTGTGCAGTGTGTACCTCTGGCGGTCAGTGCGCTGGCAGTATGGTGAGGCAAAGTTATAGTAGTTATTAGTTAAATAAGGACGGTACAACTCGGACAGTTGGCGGTATGAAGGAGTGAATATGTTTATATAGGACTCCATGTTGTACATTTGCAGAACCTTGTGGTTAGTGCGGCTGGCAGTATATGGGGGGGGGTTACAGCGAGGTTTGACTGTATTATATATATATATATATATATGTAAATACTTCACCGTACTTCTGCACTTTCTCTGATTTAATGGTTGATTTGTTATTTTTTGTTAAATTAGAAAAAGTGCTCTGATTCCAATATCTGCCCACCTCCTATCTCTGTCTGTCTCGTTCTTATCTTTTTCTATTGCTCTCTCGCCTCTCGCCTCTTGCTCTTTTCTCTCTTAAATATCCTTTCATGCAGTATTGAAATAGGCGTTAATGTTTCGGTTTTGGAGAGACAGTACTGAAAAGCTTTGATTCTAAAGGAGCTCTATGACTCGGACAACGTTATGTATGGCTGTATTATATATATATATATATATATGTAAATACTTCACCGTACTTCTGCACTTTCTCTGATTTAATGGTTGATTTGTTATTTTTTGTTAAATTAGAAAAAGTGCTCTGATTCCAATATCTGCCCACCTCCTATCTCTGTCTGTCTCGTTCTTATCTTTTTCTATTGCTCTCTCGCCTCTCGCCTCTTGCTCTTTTCTCTCTTAAATATCCTTTCATGCAGTATTGAAATAGGCGTTAATGTTTCGGTTTTGGAGAGACAGTACTGAAAAGCTTTGATTCTAAAGGAGCTCTATGACTCGGACAACGTTATGTATGGCTGTTGTATCAGAATACAGAATTGTGAAGTTTATTCCGCTTCACATACATTTTTTTTTTGTTGTTAGTTCCAGTGCTATTGGTAGGTCCTACTTCTTTACTTTCCCTCTATGGCTTCTGTCTGTCTTACTCTGTCTGTCTTACTCTGTATGTCTTACTCTGTCTGTCTTACTCTGTCTCAGCACGAAATGACCATTAGTTGTGTTGATGTGTTTCCTTTACTCAAACAAAGCCAAATGTATTTCAGTATTATTACTGTGTGTTCAGCTTGTTGATGTGCACACTTGTGGTTCAGGTTTGCGAACTGCTTGAATTTCCCGGAACAGTCCTGAATTCTGCTATTTCACCGTAACTGTAATAAACATTTCACGTTGACATACACTTCTTCTTCTTCTCTTCTTCTTCGATCCCGTGGTTGGGGCAACCGTTGGGGCACCACTGCATTGGAAAACCAGCTCTCGCCATCTATTTTTGTCCTCTGCTCTCCTCAGATTGTCACCCATCGTCTTTCCTGTCCACTCTGTAATGTTGTCCTCCCATCTCCTTCTCTGCCTTTCTCTTTCCTTGTACGGTTCCTTGCAGGATTGTTTTGGCAAGTCCTGTGGATCTTGTGACATGCCCATACCATTTTAGTTTTCGTAGTAGACATACAGTACACAACGCCAAGACCAGTCCCTCTCTTGCTATGTTGCTTGCTATTTCGTAAATCTGATGGTTATAACATAGGGTGTCCCTGAATGGGTTTTACTACCAAAATTTGGTAAGTCTGCATTGACTGTACAATTCCACGCATATCGGACCGTTGTCCCGTTAAATTGATCTGAAATGTTTGCCAACGCTTGATTTCCTTCAAATGTCAGATCAATAAATTGAAAATCAGGTGTTATTTATAAATAGGATGCAAGGTTTTTGGAAATTCGTTGCTGTCTTTAAAAAAATGAAGCGAGTAATCTAACTCTGTTCCACACAACTTTACAGGGCGAGGAAGAAGAACTGTCTTAGGACAGCGGTGAGGCTATTGATACATGTATGTTTCCAGCTTTGTCGTGATGAAGTTGCATCTTTTGAGATGAAAATCCCACCCCCGGGGCGGTGCCACTGACTGTAGTGTCTTTAGGCCGTTCCCAAAGGGGGGGACATTTTTCGTTCAAGCACAGTAGATTTTAAAAATCTATTCTTGAAGCATGTTTTCTCTTCCCCGCCATGTTTTACCATTGAATTCTAATCATGATATCGAACGTCAACTGAATGCAAAACTGAAAATGAATCTTCCATGAATAAATACATTAGAAACTATTGGATGATTGTTTTTGTTTTTTCAAGTTTATGTGTCCTAAACTTAAAAAGCCAATTTTCTCAAAATAAGATCTCTATACCCTACCTCACAAAATGTGCAATACATGTACCGGGTATCTCAAAAACTACTTGAGATATCCCAAAAATTCAAAAAACAACTGTGTTCAGGTTTGAATTTCCTACATGTATAAGTATAAGGTACGATCTTTAACTCAATATGGTCAAAATCCGACTTTTGGTACATGTACCTCACACATTTATTATTATTATTACTAACTACCAATACTATACTGTAACACAGAAAAACCAAGGCTTCGGTAGTCTAGACGTTCATGGATTCAAGCCTCAGCTCGGTCCGACGTCGTGTCCTTGAAAAAGGCACTTTACATGAATTTCCCATTTGGCTCGGTCCTTTCGGAGACAGACATTAAACTCGGAGGTCCCGCCTCTTCTATAACCTAATAGTGTTGCAAGGGGTGTTAAACCTATATCCTATCGTGGTGAAGTGTATAGGCTACCATTTCACCATTTTCCCAGAAAATCACTTCACCACCCAAAAACAAACCAAGCCAATCCAGTTCTATGAGATTGATTTTATTTGTCATGATATAAAGCAAAAGATGCACCTCAGGCCAAAAAGAAAGAGACCAAATGTATGTACAATAATAAAAAAGGAAAATCAGGAAGTCGGAAAAATGATACTGGAGCAGCTACGGCGCTAAGACAAAGAAAACAATATGGCGAGTCGGGTCGTGGAGAGGCATGACAAAAACGTAAAGAGGAAAATGAACGAACAGCAAAAATATTGTGGCGCTAACAAGAGTTTAAAAAACCCCAAACAAACACACACACAAACAAAAACAAAACCCATGTATTCGCCTCGAGCACTCCTGAATGCGCAGACCTACGCAACAATTAATGTTGATGCAAACAAAATAGGTTTTGTCCTACTTCGTTTACCCACACAGAATAGCGTGTCGTTCTCCACACACTGTGTAACAAACAATCATACTGTCATAGACACAGTGCACCTTTCAGGTAGACGACCTAATTATATGATTGTTCCGACACACCAAACTTATAGGTCTGCACTAAACACACGATGAATGACAGCTTGTGTCCCACACTTTCAAATTTTGTTAACAAACTTTGTTACACACTTTCAAACTTTGTTAACTAACTTTGTTACACACTTTCAAACTTAGTTAACAAACTTTGTTACATGTCCACACTTTCAAACTTAGTTACGGTACACACTTCCCAACTCATCCTAAAATTACAACAAAAAGGTCACATAGATGAAAGCTGCTCAGCAAGTGTATTCAGAGATTAATATGCTATAAAGTACAATAAATTTTTTTGAAATTGGGCTCTTTTTCTCCCTCCGTGCATACATTTTAATGCAGGATATTCCCAGTTTTAAATAAGCTGGACTGATCTTCATTGAATGAAGTCCAACTGCCCAAGTTTTCTTTAACGAGCGCTTCACATCCACACGGGAGTCCAGAGCTTTTCGTATGTACCTGAGAAGACGAAGCACTCAATCCTATCACTCACTCTCGATTAATAAAAAAACCCATCAAAATCCAGACAACACCCCCCCCCCCCCCAAATATTTGACCCACCACGCCTACACAACCCCCGACCCGAACAAAGCACCCTGGGAGGAAAAGCTAATATTGTGTTATAGGTGACTTCACTCTACATGTCCTATTCTAAAGTCTAAAGGTGCGTTCACTCTACATGTCTAAAGGTGGGTTCACTCTACACGTCCAAAGGTGGGTTCACTCTACATGTCCAAAGGTGCGTTCACTCTACATGTCCAAAGGTCCGTTCACTCTACATGTCCAAATGTGCGTTTCACTCTACACGTCCCAAGGTGGGTTCACTCTACATGTCCAAAGGTGCGTTCACTCTACATGTCCAAATGTGCGTTTCACTCTACACGTCCCAAGGTGGGTTCACTCTACATGTCCAAAGGTGCGTTCACTCTACATGTCCAAAGGTGAGCTTACACCACAACCCCCCCCCCAAAAAATATAAAAATCCCAACAAATTTCTACACCAGTGCTTCACTGCTTGTCCCCCATCTTTATAGCAAGATCCCCACTTTTCACTTTATGTACGAGGCTGAAAACTTTCGTACCGCCCTCCTACACGTATTTCAAAATGGAGCATTGCATTAAACTAACACCTACCTAACAGCCACTAGACCAATCAGTATGGATACCTTGCGGGCTTTAGTGCTGAGAGGAACTGAGCACTTATGGACCTGTCCGGTGTGCAATGATGACGTTGTTGCCCAGGACAAGTAAGACAAGTAAGTACCGCCTGTCACTAGAGTCTACTCCCGTGATCCCCACCGCCCACCAACAAATCACCATGCACCCTGACTGGCAAGCACTGCTCCAACTCCAAGCTAAGCTAAGCTGAGGAACTGAATGTAATCTGTCCCCGTGGTTTTATGCACCCCACATAATTTAGCAAAAGTTGATCATTTTTTGCATAATTTCTGATTATTTTCCTTTATCATTCTTTGTTAAAATTAACAGAATCGCATAATTTCACATTTTTGGGCTCAGTTTGCATAATTTCAGAATTTTTCTTGCATAAAACGACGGGGACAGATGTAATGTAGAGATAATCTAAACACAACCCACACCATTATGTATCAATCACACTACACAAGTGACCATTCACAGCCAACCTGTCTACAACAACCACTACTACTCCTCACTGAAAGTGAAAACCTGAACTTTCCCAGACACAGCACTCTCTCCACATTCCACACGAGTAATGACAATACAGCACACACAAGAAAGAAAACGGAATCTGCTTACCTTTGGAGAAAACAACGAAAAATAAAACAAAAACAAAAAAAGCCCCCCACAGATTCACCTCTCCCAGCACCACACACACCTGTCCACTCCCACATACCACTGTCCACTCCCACATACCACTGTCCACTCCCACATACCACTGTCCACTCCCACATATAATCACTGTCCACTCCCACATATCACTGTCCACTCCCACATATCATTCACCAGACAAACCCCCGTTGGAGATTTAATAGCGTACAAACGCAAAACCAAACACACGTCGACATATATTGGAGATTTATCGTACAAACGCAAAACCCAACGCACATCGACATATATTAGAGATGTACATGTATCGTACAACATTCGTCAAACCAAACGCACATCAACATGGAGGAAACGAGCTGTAACTCGTAACCCCCACAAAAACTCCAAAAGCTGGAGGCAGCTCAACATCGACATCAACACCAACAACAACAAATTCTCCAAAGCACATGACGACACACTACACTCTTTGTCTCGAGGAATCTAGCTCTAGTATGTCAAGGCCACTGCCAATTTTGCAACAGACCACTCTCTGCCCGAACAACTCGATATTCTTGAGAGAAAAAATCTGCAGGGCGTTTAAACTCTTTAGATAATGATAAAAGGGAATTGTAATGATAAAAGTAAAAGCAATTCAATCTTAGCACTCAGGACAAACACAGACATACACTACAGAAAAATTCTTCCTCTGCAAAGAATATGTGAGTCATGCTGACAAAATGAGTTACTTCTCGTAATCCACAAATGGAGATATTGGCCAAAAATTGACACTAGTGTCAAATTTGTAGACTTTCTATTTATGCAATACTCTTTAAGTATAACATGCTTTTCATTATTTTATACTTCTAAATTGTAAAAACTTCAGCTATAGGCATGATGTACCTATTTCAATAAGCCATGAATCCGAGAAGCAACTCATTTTGTCAGCACACTTCACATATATCTGGCAGACCACAATTCTCACAACTGGCAAAAGAAACTCATGTCTGTGACTTGGCAGCAGTTTCTAAACTCATCAACCTCCAAACGTATTCTTGCATAATTATAACAAAAGCTATCAGCACACCAGCAAACTCTAATAAATAACAGCAGACACTAAGAATTGCTAACCAGAAAATGAATATTATTTACACTATGCAATGATGAAGCTGTTTACCATCCACAGGAAATGTTTTCAAGTATAATATATATATATTAAAATCAAAACCCACAAGAGAATGCACAAGCTATATCAATAAGTCAGTCATCAAAAATATGGAGATATATATATATATATATATATATATATATATATATATATATATATATATATATATATATATATATATATATATACCCAAAAAATAGATATACTACTAGTTCGGTCGAAAGCAAACAAAAAATTTTAAAGAAAAGAAAACTGGGTGAGAAATATTACTATATACAGGTCTATATTTCCAACAGCTGTTGCTATACCAATCAAGACTTTTTTCCAAACATAAAACAGCCTCTTCAAAGAAGGTACCGTAGAGTGAATGGGAAAACAGCTTTAAAAGTTTCAGATGATAAATTCAAACTCTGACATTTTATTTTCAACACTTCAGATTCAACATTTCTCAATTCAGAGTCAAACTTTTTTTTTCTTTATGTCACAACTTTTTCACTTTTGCGAGATGATTTCGAATTCATACAATCTGCTCCCCTTTGCCCGTCTTCCGAAATGTACAAGTTTGATGCATGCGGTAACCACAAATGAAGTTCCTGAAAAATTCTAATGAGTTTCGTTTTTTTCTACACTCTCTTCACTTACCAAAAATGCCAACAGAACAATCGAATTATAGCACATCATGATAAATAAAACTGCAATAATTGAAAAATATAACACTATCCATTCTATTCCTCCCTGTTTTCAATCATTGTAACTTTCACATGAAACAAACAGTCTGAGACAACAACAAATGTTGACAGAATGAGAGAGATAGCCAAGTGAAACAAACTTTGTTGCAGCTACAAGAAACAGAAAACTGCATACATTTCAGAAACATCCAGTGTGCCAAGAAGTCCAACAGTGTATATTGAGAACAAGAACAAAATCCCTCTTTCACTTTCACTTGTCATGAGTAAAGCAATGTACACACAAAGTTTACCATCCAAAAACAAAACCCATCAATCCAAACTGAAATGTATTAGACACCAGATTAAAAAGAAGAAGGCTCATTTACATCGTAAAATGAGTGAAGAAATTGTAGACGTGCGGTGAAAGACACAGATCATGTGACTATCAGAAGTGAACTTTCACAAACTACATGATCATAAACTCACACCAGTGACATGGCAAGTGGCGGGGAAAAACCCCCCTGAAAGAACTCGCTTATTACAACTAACGATGATTTCAGACACTGTAGAATGTGATGTCAAGGGACATGACTCTTATCTTTACTGTGGGGACAAGATAATTAAGGGAGTGGCACGCCCTTGGATGACATCAAGGGTCCCGCGGGAAATAGGCGGAGATCGTCTGAGAGACTCACTGAGGTATTCAGTCGGACTTAGGACCACGACGAGGCAACACTTATCTAGGACGGGGGCCCCCTGCCAGACCCGACGCATCGGACCGCCAGTAACTTTACATAGAACTGTGGTCTTTCCAAAAGAAACAATCAAGGAAATTAGACATGTTGAACTGCAGGCAGGCTCATGACTTTTACATGACCCACTTGAAGTTTTAGTTTTAGTAGAGGGTTTTACGGCGCTCACAACTGCATAAGGTCATATGAGCGCCAAGGGGTGGGTGTCAACAGAGAAGTCTTTACAGGGAATCAGACTTACTCTGCTCACCTCTCTAGCTTCAACATCACAAAGTTTGCTTCGACTATCAAGGCACCCCGGAAATAGCGGGTCGCAAGAGTGTGACAAACATACAAAAGAAGTCAAGGAAAAATGACAATAGTAAAGATTAGGAAAGAAAAAGCAGCAGTTCCCTGTTGTAGATCAGGCACAGTTATGAGCGTGACATTGATGAATCAGCCCATTTACAATTCTAATGTGCATGAACGAGAAACGTCCCCCCTTTGGGAATGGCCTAAAGACACTTCTGTCAGTGGCACTGCCCCGGGGGGGTACCCAGTTGAAGCGGAAAGAAGGCTCCTTTATAACGGGAGAGTATCCATTAGGAGTCACACCACGCTGGCTACCAGAACAAAGTCGGAGCACTCCTGAGGAACATTCTCTACAGAATGCGAACCCCCCCCCCCTCTCTATTGAACCGCTATACCTAAAGTCAGAGCTATCTTACACAGTAAGATCAGCTTAATACAAATAACAACAACAACAACAACAAAAATAATAATAGATGGCATTTGTATAGCGTATATCCCCGCTCTACAGCAAGCTCTATGCACTTTACAATCTATATCATGACCCCAAAAGACCTTAGTAGAACACTCAGAAACATTTTTGCTTTTCATGAAGCACACACTGCAAGAAGCTGCTTAAGCGCTTGAACTCGAACTCCAAACTGTAACAAACTGACAAGATATTTCACCATCTATAGCCGGGAACCCATCCCTCCCCCCGCATGAAGTGAGGAAAATATGTGTCAAGTGCCTTTCCAAAAAACACAACGTCAAAATCATGACAGGGTTGGGACCTACAACCTTTAAGCTGCAAGCCCAATAACCTATCCACTAGACCACACATATACAGCAGGCCAGTCCATCACTCCATGGCCAAATCTGATCCCGATTCTTCGACAGGCCAAAAATAAATTTTTAAAATCTGAGAGTCCGGATTTTATCGGAGCATTTGACATGCCTGATGTAGTACGTTCGAACCATCCAGATTTTTAGTCAGCAGTTCTTCTACTCCAATCACTGAGCTATAGTCCAGTGCTTGTTTACTGTATTTGAATAGGAGCAAAAACAAAACCACACACACACACAAACACACACACACAAACACACACACACACACACACACTAACACACACTTCCATTCCCATGCACAAACTGGAGCCAGTGCACCGAACTACACACTCTGAACTCAAAACAGAAGCACAACCAATTGGCAGCTGAAAGCTCATGAGTGGGCATAAAGAAAACTACCACAAATACACACTACAGAATCCCAGCAACCACACATTGGCCGTTGGATGTACACATACGACAGACATTTGTAAGGCGTGCTGACAACACAAATTACTTCTCGCAATCACCTAATGGAGTTCTCGGACAAAAATCGACGTGGAGTCATATTTGTAGATTTTCAACTGGATGACATTTTTGTACTTAGAGTTTAACATGTCTTTTATCATCTCACACAATTGAATTGTCCAAACTCAATCTCTACAAATTTGACATATCTATGTCCATAAGGCTAAAAATATGAGAAGTAGCTTGTTTTGTCAGCATGCCTCCAATCGTTTTGTCCTAAGGGGTGCCCGTTGCGTATGGTGTTGGGTCGGGGGCGATCCCCCCACTCGTTGCCTGAAAACAAAAGCGCTTGTTTTTGAGGCGACATGTTGGGCACGATCAGCTTGTGCCATGATAGCCGCTTTGCCCCCTCAATCTGGCTAGTAAACCTCCCCGACCTGACCCTAATCCCACAATGGGCACCCCATATAAAAAGACAGCTGAATGAGCGAGTCGTTCCATTGCTTCGAGGTATGTTTCACTCATCATTCCAAGAAAGAACGTAACATGTCTTTTGTGAAACAGCAAAGAACCAAATCAAGCTAAAGTCCCAGAAAAAATGATTATTTTAGTAAATTTTGCCACCGTTGATCTTGCTTTGGGTCCGAGAACAGCAAATTTCACCAAAGTGTTTCCCACTGACAATATTTCTTACAACTACTGTGTATTATTTCTCGAGTAAGTGGACTTGATTTCATAGTCTTTGTTTTCATAGCCTTTGTCCGTAGCTGTGAGAAAAATATCTTACGTTATAAAGATAATCAATTTCTCCACATACGAACACACACTGAGCTTTACGAATGACGACATAGTGTTGGTAAATATACATATATATATATATAATATATATATAATATACAGTCTACCAAGCGCATAGCGAAGAGATTTTCGGATCCCAAACATTTTTAAGCACATATATTTTCTTTGTGTTTAAAACACATACATAACGCAAAGATTTTAAAAATGTCGTCGTCCCACCAATTCCGCTGTGTGCGTGCTAGACTGAAGAGTTCCTGCAGAAAGGCCACGACACGGCCGGAAACATATGACTCTATGAGATCAACTCAGCAACGGCATAAATAACGTAAAAGAAGTGGAGAAGTGTGCCGCAACGAACATAGACGTACAACACACACAGAATATCAGAAGAAATGAACACAGTTCTGAACAACAGTGCTACAATCACACTCATAGATCATGACAGAAAACTGAGCCTCTATCAATCACATTGAAGTTTCCAAGAAAACTTTCAATTTCCCTCAAATCACAACTCAGGCACTACCAAAACAAAACAAACAAACAAAAAAATCAACCCATATGGTAAAAGAATTATCGTTTTTAAAAGTAAGAAGAGTTCTTAGGACAAAAAATCGAAAGAAGAAAATTATGAACACTAATTTAAAAAATACACTGTGTGATGTGATCTTGCTTGAATTGCTTTCAACAAAAGAACACTTTGAGCGGCAGACATTTCGTGTGCTTGTCTGTCAAACTGCTACAGCTGACACGCCACACACACTTGCCGAGAGGCGGGAACATCACTGTCGTCACAATATATCTCACTCCTCTGCGGGACCATCATTGTGACAATATATGTCAATCCCTATATGTAAGTCTGTGAGCAGTCATGTCAGGCTGGTCATGCTCTAACACAAGTACAGCTTAACCTGCTCTACTGGCCACCTGTGTAAGACAATCATCTGTACAAATGACCACCTGTGTAAGACAATCATCTGTACAAATGACCACCTGTGTAAGACAATCACCTGCGCTAATGGCCACCTGTGTAAGACAATCACCTGCCCTTATGGCCTAATGGCCACCTGTGTAAGACAATCACCTGCCCTAATGGCTTAATGGCCACCTGTGTAAGACAATCACCTGCCCTAATGGCCACCTGTATAGGACAATCAACTACCCTAATGGCCACCTGTGTAAGACAATCACCTGCCCTAATGGCCACCTGTGTAAGACAATCACCTATGCTTATGGCCATCTGTATAAGACGATCCCCTGTAAAAATGGACACTTTCAATTTTTTGATATTTTTTTCTATCATAATTCCACTGACCAAAACTTCCATCTGTCTTAATTGAAGTTAAAGGAAAACCATTTTTCTCTCCGACAATTGTCCTGGACCAGTTTGATTGTCTGCCAGTCATACTTCCACACAATCAATGTTTGTCTGTGCCCACAACTGTCCGGCTTACTTCCAGTACCTGCAGTGCAATGGTCCGGCTCTCTACCCCGCACGCTAAATGACGTTGAGTTCCATTCCCAAGCGGCAGAGTATAAAAATATTCCAAGCACAACTATCTCGCTGTAAGCAGGCGTACCCACCACACCCAGGACTGATCCCTAGGTGCAACAGGCATGATCAAAGTAGCCAGCCTCCAAAATGATGAAATTATTTCCATAAGAACAACGATCAACGAACAAAGACCCCCACTGGCTTCCACACACGCGTCGTTCCACACAAGCCACAGCGACACAAGATCAACGCCAAGTTTGACCATTTCCAAGAGGTAATTGTTCGTTCTTGTCAGCCTGGGGCCAGCATAGTCATTCAAACATCAGTCGAATGTCAGACGAACCAGCAGAAATACAGAAAACCATGTCCGTTAATTATGTCCGTTTCCACCTCAACGCCAGTTTGGAGCAAGAGTCAAAGGCAAGGAAAAAGACACGCAATCTACGAGAACGCCAGTTTGAGCGAATCACACAAAGAGAAAAAAAACATACAGTAGCTCAACACACAACAACTAAGAGGAAACTTTCACGCTTCTGTTTTATTCAACATGAGAAAAATGTGGAGCCTACCTCCTACAGCGCGCTCAGACCACAAACATTTTACACACTAACACTCAAATAATACAAACAATAAGCGTTATAATAAGAAAAACAAGTCCATTACTCCATCACTGCAAATCATATAGTCATCACTCTGCATAATTTTAGGGAGTTTTTGAACAACATTTACATCCTTCAACAACTGCAGCTTAGCGGCAAATTAGAAGAACATGTATGCATAAAATCTGCAGTACTTTATGATTCATGAAGTTAAAAATGAAATTCCCACCTCCATCAAATTTGCTTAAACAAAACTCAGGTAAATAGTACTACCAGATAATTATGCCTACAACAACTGAAGTGTCAAATAACTATCCCATAATTCATTATATCAACGTCAAGTGGTAACATCAGCTTCTCCGATCATGTCATGAATATCTCAACTCTCACATAAATTATGCACATAAAAATAACAGTACTGTACTACACAAATATTACATTCAAAACATACTTAATGCCTCCTTCATCAAAACTTAATCTGCACTCCCTCTTCACACTGCAGGGAAGGGGAGGAGAGTCACAAACAACAACAGAGTATTGCTGCAGCGAGAAAAGAAAAATAAGAATCATTTCGATGATGTGCTTTCAGCAGGATGCATGAAGTTGGCCAGCTGGTAAAATGTGCTGAGCCCAGAGAGCAAAAATTTACAGGAAAGAGGATAAAACTATTTCATTCTTTTCACAATTTTACCTACTTTCTGTATATATATATATAGATGTACATCTTTCTTTGACTTTTTTTTCAACATTTGAAATTTGAAATTTGACGAAATATTTCTTGAGCTTATGCAACCAATATTTTCGATTAAGAAACTTATTTTTTAATTTTTTTTACATTCAGAATGTTGGGCTTTGTATATATTTTACCAGCTGGCTAACTGTAAGCTCTCATGCAAGACTGGCACAGACACAGATGCAAAGACCTCAAGCAGCAACTGTCCCACTAGGACACCAGACACAAATAATAAAACAGCAAAATATACTGGCAAGAAAATAAAACTTCATTTGTGCCACGCCCATTACTTGCGACAAACTCTGCTCTCTCTCTCTCTCTCTTCTATTGGGAAGGAGGTGTTCACCAACCGCAGAGGGGTCCCTCATATGACGACTGGCTGAGTTAATAAAACACTCTACCAAAAAAACACTTTAAAAAACCTAAGAAAACTTGGATTAGCCAGGTGTTTCTAGGTTTTAAAAAGGTTTCGGAGAAGTGGCACTTTTAGTCTTAGAACTCCGAGGGAGAGAAAATGCTCTTTAATAATAATTAAAAGTCAGGACAACTCCACACCAAAGTGTGGCTTATTGATGAGTTAAAATCTGGGACAGAAAATGTTCTTAACTCTCCTAAGAAACAGCTTCACTGAAAAAGTTGTTCACGAAGAGTCGTTCACTTTGACTAATTCTTCAGAAGAGAACCAATCTAAAAGAACAACATCGACTACAGGACCGCTCTCCAAAACCACGAGTCACAAATTGAAAGGAGAAAAATCAAAAGACTAGAGATCAAGCCACAGAGCAATGAAATGTCACAAGAGAAACTTTCATTTCTTACCAACACAAATACCAACAAAAAAAAATATGTATATAAAATACATGTATCTTTCTAAAATACCCCAAAACAGTCAAACTAAATAAAATGATGAGTGGAAATTCATTGGGCGAGCATGGAAACAGCAAGAGAACTTAACAACATACACCCTCCGTGGGAGTATTTCAGGGGTCATAACTCACACCACGCTCGAGTACACTCGTCACATGATGAATGGAAGCTCTCTTGCTGGTCGTTTTTTTTTGTTTTTTTAAAAGTTTTTTCTGTCTCTTGTTTTGACTTCTTGTTTCAAGATAAAGAGAAAATATGTGTCACAACATGGTGGAATCAGGCGCTCATCAATGTCAAGGCATATGGAGTTATTGGTATCATCTTAAACGTTGTTCATTTGTCTTGTTTCTAGTAAATAAATCCCCACCTATCATGTATGGAAGTTGAGCTATTTGCAATGGAAGGAAGTCAGGGGCCGCCGGTTATCAGAGGGAAAATCAGCGAGAAAAATGGCCGCCAAAGTTTGGGGACTTCCAAAGCTTGAGTATCCTTGGAAACTTCAAGCATGCATTTTATGTGCCTTTTATCAACATTTTTCCATAAAAAACTCACAGAAATGTTTTTTAAGGATGTAAAAAGTACTGAACCCAAAAAATTAATAAAATTTTGGTGTTAATTTATTGTTAGCAGACAGAAAAATGGCCGTTTCTTCTGTTTCATTATTTTGACGAGCGTCTGATTTCAGCACAATGCGACACATATATATTAAACTACTAGGACGTCCGTGTCCTTAGTCCTTCTTCTTGTTCTCCGCCACAACCATGAACACTTTCTGGAGGAAGGTCGTCATGTTGTCTGAAAAACACGCACAAAAAAACCACCATGAATTTTTGACAACATCTGTATTTCGCAACTCTCAGTAGGCTACTTTTCTTTTCTTTTTTTTCCCCCAAAGGTTTCTAATAGTGATTCAAATACATTCCCACTCTTTTGCATTTATCAACACCTTTTTCTTTTCTTTTTTTTACATTTTTCAAAAGGTTTCTCAATAGTGATTCGAATACATGCACACTCTTTAGAACTTTATACAATAATATGAATTTCGACTCAAGGCTTGATGGGAACTAAACATGGAAAACTTCAAACAATATTAAATTAGCACATGATCTAAAGTCTTTCTTCCTTACTCAGGCCTTCGGTGCTTAAGCAGCATCTGTTTAATTAAGCAATTTTTTTTTTTGCGTGCAGCACAAGATACTGATAGATCAAACAACAAAGCAACTGATACTAGAATAGTATCCAAAGAAGCGACTGTGTACAATATTTCCCCCCCCCACCAAAGTCCTGCCAAGATGTCATTATCATCCTCTGGCCTACAGAAGTTTCTCATTCCTTTGACAGATCATATTTCAAGAAGAGTATCCGACCCCATAGGCAAAATACCATACTTTATTTCCCTCTATCCTAAGAAAATTTTATACAAAATCTTCACTCATTTGTCCTCAGAAACCCCCCCCCCCCAACCCAAACTGACCTTCTATCTCATTGTCCTTGGCCAAAAAAACAAAAACAATTAGAATTTCTAGTCATCCTCGAGAGAACTTTTGTTTATCTTTGTCATGATATTCGATACTTGTACTCGAATATAGCGAAGATGTTCGATACGAAAATAAACACTTCCCTTCCCTATGAAATCAATATGGCTGAATGTTTACTATCGTCTTGTGCTCGTCTGACTTTGATCAAATATTAAGAGCACATAACATCATAACAATCTTCAGCAAGATACACATACACCATCACATCAGTGAATCAATCAGTCCACTTTAGCCCATTTGGGTAATTTTTAGTTTTATGTCAGAGACCAAAGACTAGCAGGGAAGCCATTCAACTTTTTTTAAAATAGCCGAAAATCCACCAGCCACAGTCTCGCTAACATGAATCATATCAATTTGAAACCCTATGGGTGAACATAGAGAACTATAGATTCTATCTCGATCTCAATAACGGAATAGCGGATCAGGATCAAAATACCGGTAATACCGGAAAAAAGTGGAAAAGTGGCATCCCTGGACTAGTTTTTGTTGTGTTGTTCCTATCAGGAATCATGAAAGGCAAGGAAATTGTACGCCTTGACCATAGCATTAAACTGCATTTGTTTGATGTTAAAAGGTACATCTTTGGTAGAGCTTTGGGAGGGGGGGGGGGAGATTAACACTTGCCATCACAAGGCTCATATAGTGAAAACCCTTACTATCAAAGGCAAAGGCATTTTGGGGAAAATCCAAAGAAACTGGGTGGTAAACATCGCCAATCTGCGAGATGTCATGGCAAAGTGTTAAAAATTCTCTAAATTTAGACACAAGAAAATTTCTTGCGACAGCCACGCTACTCACTTCTCTTTATCTTGAGTAAAAAAGAACAATGTGAGGTGTGCTAGCAAAATAATAAATAATAAATAAAAAGCATTTGTATAGCGCATATCCCCGCTCAACAGCAGGCTCTATGCGTTTTACACTACAATAATGAGTTGCTTCTCAGATTTCAGCCTTATGTAGACTACATAGATATGTCTGGTGTATTAGGTAGGGTTTGTACTATATTCATTAGTATGAAATAATAAAAGACGTTTAGAAAAAAATGGCATCAGTTAAAAATCTGAACTCAGTGTCAATTTTCAGGCGATATCTCCATTCACGGATTGCGAGAAGTAACTTCTTAGTCAGTAAGTCTCATAAATTTTTTATAAAAGGAAAGTATGTCAGGCGGTGTTGTATCTTACCCATGTAACGGTCAAAGATCTTTGGCTTTGACGTCCAGGCCACAAATATGATGTAGACGGGGATACCCGTGCAGATGATGAGTAGACCGATACCTGGGGGGGGGGAGGAAACATGGAGATATAGCGCGCAGAACCATGGAAGGAAATTGTTGCAACAACAACAACAACAGCAACAACAACAACCAGACACATTTGGATAACACACACAACACATTTTTTGGGTGTGTTTTACGGCACTTGCAACACAATACAGTCATATGAGTGCCAAAGATTAGAGGAATTACAAGAGAGTAACAAACAAAAAAAAAGAAGGTAGATGTTTGATAGGAAAAAAGAAGCAAACAACACCAGAGCACCCGCCAACCAACCACACACACACAACACAGGAAGGAAATTGCTTTCAACAACAATCAGACACATGAAGAAAATACACAGAATACAGGAAGGAAACTGTTGCAGTGACAAAGATGGCAACAACAACAACAACAACAACAAACAACAAAACACGTTGCCACAATACAGGATGGACAAAGTCACAAACAACAGCAAACCCTACAGCAACTGCAACCACCACAACTACAGCTTCAGCTATTGCAATAACAAATGCTGCTAGGACTACTTCTACTATAGCTGCAACTTCAGCTATTGCAATAACAAATGCTGCTAGGACTACTTCTACTACAGCTGCAACTTCAGCTATTGCAATAACAAATGCTGCTAGGACTACTTCTACTACAGCTGCAACTTCAGCTATTGCAATAACAAATGCTGCTAGGACTACTTCTACTATAGCTGCAACTTCAGCTATTGCAATAACAAATGCTGCTAGGACTACTTCTACTACAGCTGCAACTTCAGCTATTGCAATAACAAATGCTGCTAGGACTACTTCTACTACAGCTGCAACTTCAGCTATTGCAATAACAAATGCTGCTAGGACTACTTCTACTATAGCTGCAACTTCAGCTACTATGCTCCAACTACCGCAACTATTGCAAAGGCAGCTGTTATTACAATTACCGTTGCTGCCGCTGCCACTACTACTACTGCTTACTACTACTGCTGCTGCTGCTACTACTACTACTGCTTACTACTACTACTGCTTACTACTACTGCTGCTGCTGCTGCTGCTACTACTACTACCACTACTACTACTGCTTACTACTACTGCTGCTGCTGCTGCTGCTACTACTACTACCACTACTACTACTGCTGCTGCTGCTACTACTACTACTGCTTACTACTACTGCTGCTGCTGCTACTACTACTACTACCACTACTACTGCTACTACTACTGCTGCTGCTGCTACTACTACTACTGCTACTACTACTGCTACTGCTACTACTACTACTACTACTGCTACTACCACTACTACTACTACTACTGCTACTACTACTGCTTACTACTACTGCTGCTGCTGCTACTACTAGTACTACCACTACTACTACTACTGCTACTACTACTACTACTGCTACTACTACTGCTGCTACTACTGCTACTACTACTACTACTACTACTACTACTAACTACTACTACTACTACTACTACTACTACTACTACTACTACTACTACTACTACCACTACTACAAGAGCTGCGACAATTACTCGTTAACACAACTGTTGTTTTAACTACCCAAAGTTCTCCACAAGTACCAAAACACCTACAGTTCTATCAACTAGTACAACAGCTTTTTGGACAATGCTACAACTACTTCTACAAGTACAGCAGCTGCTTTTATCACATCTAGTTAAGTTTTAATAAGAGTTTTACGGCATTTGCAACACAATCAGGTCGTCATAATACAAGTACTAGAGATTAGAGGTGTACTAGAGAGTAACATTTAGAGAAAAAAAAGGGGAGAAATGAGGACAATGGAGATGTTTGAAGGAAAGAAGGAGCAAACCCCACTAGAGCACCTGCCAACCACCCACTAAGAAAGTCACAGGGTACAAGAAATCAAAATACTTTGAAATGGGCACAGCAACTTCTTTCTTTTAATTGTAGGGGTTTGTTTGTTTTTAAAGTTTAGTTTCAGGAGAGGTTTTACGGCGCTCGCAACTGCATACGGTCAAATGAGCGCCAGAAGATTAAAGGTGTTACAAGAGAGTAACAAACAAAAAAGGAAGAAAGGGAGATAAAGACGATAGATGTCTGATAGGAAAGAAGGAGCAAACCACACTCGATCACCCGCCAACCACCCACAGGTTTTTTTAAAGCCCCCATCAACACAATTTAGATCAGTTAGGGGGCAGGCTTCTGACCCTGCCTGTCAGGGCGAGCCCCAGCTGAGAAGGATACATCCCAGCACAAAGGCCCAGATATCCGATAAAAAATGTTCTCCCCACTCAGGAATGGAACTCAGGTCTTTGATGTGCGTCAGCGAAGCACCGAACCACTACACCACAGACACCTGTACCTACTTTCTACTACTGAAAATGTGTGGATAGCGATGAAATCTATTTGCTTCCCTAGATTTACAAAGTTTTAAACGCTCAGTTCCTAGTTTTGAGAAATGTGCCGTTAAAAAATGTCGAGTTTCACAACATATCAAGCTTTTGCAAATACAATTCTTTGAAAATCATGATAATGACTCTGAATAATCAAACGATTTAGATATAGTAGTGTGATTAGTTGGTTTATTTTGGGAAAGTAATCGAGTACGACACCTATTTGACAAGGGCAGGGCAAGGCGTGAGCCACGGACTGTGGAAGACCGCGTGAGCCACGGACTGTGGAAGACCGCGTGAGCCACGGACTGTGGAAGACCGCGTGAGCCACGGACTGTGGAAGACCGCGTGAGCCACGGACTGTGGAAGACTGTGAAAGACCGCGTGAGCCACGGACTGTGGAAGACCGCATGAGCCACGGACTGTGGAAGACCGCGTGAGCCACGGACTGTGGAAGACCGCGTGAGCGTGAGTCACAGAGGAGAGGTGCAGAGCAAAGAGTTGTCCCCAGTCAGTGCAAGTAGGTGTAATGATACTGGAGTTATTACGTCCTATTTGGCATTTCATGTTAGGCCTTAAGGCTTGGAAAAAGACCTGGCAGGGTCAGAGAATAAAGATGGCAGCCCCCATGTAGAAGCTGAATCCCCTGGTTCCATGTTAAGTGTATTCCTGAGTGTCTGACTGAAAGAATGGAAACTGTTAAGTGTATTCCTGAGTGTCTGACTGAATGAATGGAAACTGTTAAGTGTATTCCTGAGTGTCTGACTGAATGAATGGAAACTCGCAGCCAGACAAAAACAGTTGGATCGCCACAACAGGCGGGTGTGTATAGTTAACCCATAAGTAGGCAGAGCATTTGTGAGGCAGTGTCATGGAATCAGGCTCTCCTCAATTTTTGGGCATGTAGAGTGATTGGTATCATCTTAATGCTTGTTCACTTGTCTTTATTTGGATTAAAAATGTATCCATTTATCCTGAAAACAAGTCGAAATATTGGCAAATGAAGGGGGTGGGGGTCACCTGTTTTCAGAGGTAAAAATTAATGAGAAAATGGCCGCCAAAGATTAGTTATCTCCTTAGCTTAAGAGTCCGTGGTAACAGGAAAAAAATTTTGTGTGCCTTTAATCAACGTTTTTCAGAAAAATCCACACAGAAATGAGTTCTTTAATGGGCATGAAAGGTGTTGAGCCAAAAAACAAAAGTTTGATAAAAATTCACAAACCTGCAGAAAAATGCAAGTTTCTTCACTTTGATTATTTTGACGAGAGCCTAATTCCACCACGCTGCCTCACATTTGGCTTCAGACCTCATGGTTTGAGTAACTCAAAACAGCCAAAAATGTCCGATGGAACTTTGTAATTCTAAGGAAATGCATTATCACTCTATTAATAGACATCGCTCTTCCTGGCCAATAGTTGGCCTCCATTTCTCACCTGTCTCAGTGGGGCTGGCGTACAAGGGCAGGATGACCAGGTAGATGGTGACGATGGTGTAGATGATGGGCCAGATAAGGGCAACCTGCCAAGAAGGACATACACATACATATATATATATATATTTAGTGAAGGTGACATATTAGGTTTAAAACACATACACATACATATATATATATATATTTAGTGAAGGTGAC